AGGAGTGCCAGAAAGTGGAGGAGTTGACTTAGGAGCTGGAGGGGGCGTCACTACATTCACATCATCGGTCTCTTCAGAATTATCACTTTCATATGTCAATGCTCTCTTGGTATTTCTTCTGGTTCTTCTTGTTTTTGATGAGTCTGCAGCCTGCTTCTCCAGTCTCTTCCTCTTTCTTTCTTCTGTTTGTTGTTTCTTTAACTCTGCCTGTTCCTCTCTTTGTGAAATTTCAGCCTTTTCTGGAGTATCTGTTGCCACCATTACCTTGCCCTTTCTTCTTGGCTTTCTTTGCTTCTCTTTTGGTTTAGCCTTTGGAAACCCTCTGATATCTGCAGGTGTAACAAAATCCTTAGACCTCCTGGTATCATCTATTAATTCACTAGCAACAGCAGAACTAGCTTCAGGTGTTGGAGTTTCAGGTGTAGAGACAGTAGTTTCTTGGTTACCATCTGGCAACAGTGAAGGATCAGACCTCAGAGTGACTGCAGCCATCATAAAATCTGAGTCAGTAAAAATATCCCTGTTAAAAGGAACAATTCCAGTGACTTGAAAGCTTTTTATAATATTAAGAGGTGTTGCTGCTTTCAGAAGAGCATCATTCACAAACCCTGCAACGCGGTATATAGTTGGAGGGCATGCTGGATTGTTAGCCAAATATGTATTCACAGCGGCATCATAATAAGCCTTGAAGGGCCCAAAGAATCCAACATCAAGCGGCTGCATTTTGTGAGTGCAGTGGGGAGGGAATGTCAGCACAGTTACACCATTATTTTTTGCTAAATCTAGAGTCTGAGTGGAGAAATGAGACTCTACATTATCTAACAATAACAAAGCAGGATTATTGGGAGTTGCCCCTGTGCACTTGATGAAATGGGACATAACAGCAGGGAAAGTTTCTTTCGTCATGTAACCTTTTTCATTTCCTAGGCCGAGGGCTCCCGGATAGCAGTTTATCATAAGATCAGGGACAAATTTCTTGCGTGGAAATATATGCACTGGGGGTAATACAGTTCCGTACGCTCCAATAATATCACATGTTGTCACTGAAACACCTCTTTCTGCTCCTTTAACCTGGTGGACCTGCTTGACACCCTTTGGGGCTATTATTTTACGGGTATTTTGAACTGTTGATGTGCACGACTCATCAAGGTTGTAGATCCTACTGTCATCAACAAAGGAGGGATGCCTCTCTCTAACTTCAGCAAATTTGTCAAAAAATAGTTTCACGTTAGCTCTATTAAACGCCATAGCTCGAGCAATGCTGCAGCCTTCTGGTGTTCTTACTGAAAGCTCTGGGTGTCGGTTTCGGAAACCTGAAAAATAATAACAGAGGAATAATGTATTAACAACCACACTTAACCTAAAATAAAGTCATGTTAAAATTATGAAGTAATCTATTCGCTTACCATGATACCAATCAATCCCAGCGCGCTGTTCCTTTGTCCAGTTGAGAGGCATTTGTATATTATTCTTCTGAGCAACTTCAAAAGCCAACTCCCGGCATTTTAGAACTGTCAGTCCATAACCCATTTGAGCCACTTGAATGCAATAATCTGAAATGCTTTTCTCTATTTCAGGACTAAGTACAGATCTGCTGTTATAAGTCAACTGAGGTGGTGATACATCTGGTTGCTTGTTTTTCTTTTTACATGCTTTAAAGAGAGTCTGCCTATTTATTCCCTTATCTTTAGCAGCCTTTCTGATGCTCCATCCTGCTTTTACAAGAGCCACTGCTGCTTTCAATTTCCTTGGGGATGTCAGTTTTCTGTTAGTTTTTGGTTTGTAATTTCGAACCATTCTGGACCTGAAAAAACAATAGAGGTTAGATCACACATAAAAAAAAAATTGTCAGTGTAGTGCATTATGTCAACAGAGTCGATAAGAATTCATGATAGGACTAGGTTTTGAATGAATGGAAGAGAAATACGCGTTGTAATATAAAGATCTAGGTGTCACTAACTGCCCCGGCAAAAACTGTCACTATCTACCCCAAGTGCAGTACGGTGTTTCAACGTGAACGAGAGGTTAACTCGTCGGACTAAGTTCGGCCCGCGAGTAAAATCATTAAGTATATAGTCCATACCAATCACAGAAAATTCCGTATGGTGAAGTTGGCGATACTTACGGAGTATTTACAAAAAGAAAAAAGGGTAAAAGTCGAAACTTACCTCAAATTTGTGATCTGCCACATTCAAACTTTCGCCACCGCCATAACAATCTGCCGAACACCACCGCCTTGTGGCAAATGTTTTTCGAGCTCTGAAACTTGGTTAAGCCGATCGAAGTTGGCGCGAAAATTCAATAGGACGGCCTGGGGTGACAAGTGTCACTAACTGCCCCTGTCACTAACTGCCCCACCCTCCCTTATTAATTATTATTGGTTGTTTTTATCAGCAATTAATTTACATTGAACTTATCTGCGTACTTGCATACTTGACGTTATTGCTCCTTGCTTTTCTTCTTTCAATAAATAAACTGTGCACTCTTTCATCAAATGTTTTGTTTTGTTCACGGGATTCTAAGGGCCCTGGGTAAAAAGAAACCATGGGGCTGTCCATGAGCCATGGACATAAATTTAACCATGGATTTTTCTGACCATAGATTTATGAAACCAGTAAACCATGAAAACAACAG